CTCCATCTGGCCGTGGCCGAAAGATAGTCCTCGAACTAAGACATTCGCCATCGTATCTATACTACGAAGAAATACGCCGTCTTTGACTATGTCTCGACTAGACGGTCGACGCTTAAGCAAATCCTCCATTTTTCGTTCCAGTCGGTGTAGTCGAGCGTCGTATTCGGTACGAAGAAATGAGCGGACCAACCTATTTCGTTTCCTTAGATAAACACTTAATGGGTCTGGCGTCCAACGGAGGAAATAATCTATTTTTGATACGTTTAAAGTAATCGTACTTTAACTCGGCCACCGTAGTCTTTTTCCGTAGTTACGGCGGAATTTTCGGTCCGAGCGGGCAAATTACCAAGAAAAGGTCTAGGATTTTCCAACAAAATCAATAAACGTTTTGAAAAACGGACGACGGCCTACCGTTCCGTCGTCCGTCCGTCCGGGAGATCTCGGTTCCGATTCAAACGGGTCGAAAACCCTGGGGAATTTTGCGGGAAATTTCGGGCCACGTCCCTCACCCCACCCCTGGTCGAGAGTGTAGTCGAACCCGTAAGGAGACCCTCTTAGCGTGCACGGGGCGCGTAGAATTAAAGGAAAGAGCAAAAATTCGTCTGATTATCCTAAGGGATAAAACGATTTTAAATAGATTATCTTGTAATTTTAACCGATGGTCTATTTAAGTATCATTCTATAAAAATTCTAAAATACTTATCGTAAGGTTTTGATCTTACAGTTTTATCACCGGCGTAATTTCACGCATTACGCGTCAACCACACTCCGCCTATATTACGCGCATTCTTACTGTAAAATAAACAGTGACGATTCACTGGCTATCGTTTATAATCTCGCTATTTCATTTATATTATAGGTAATATACAAAGACTCGCCTGTAAAAATGAAGAAAAACTGGATTGTGAAAGGACGCATGACGTAAGGAGAACGACTGGAATGTTCTGCGCGCTTGGGTTATCTTTACCACACGCGCCTATCGATTAAGCGACGGAACTTTTGACATTTTATCGTTTCGTCGAAGCGTTAAGTGCTAAATGTCGAAAATACGAAAATCGATTTTTCCTTTTCTTTAAATTAAATACTTTTCGGATAATTATTAATCGACTATTCTTAAGTATTGTATTTGCGGGCGTACGAGGCGCGTTGTTTCCTCTAAAAATACATCCGGTTCGGACCGGAAACGACGTTATCGCCATTGAAAAATTTCCCCAGAACGGAGTTAGACGGATGACCGGCGCCACTCTACCGTTAACGGGAAAAGTACGATACGCGCGGGAGGGCGAGACGCTATTAAAATCGACAACATCGTAGACCCTGATTTATTGCCCATATGTCCCGATAAATAATTGCCGGAGGCCGCCGCGGGATCGATTCCGGGCGGGTGGAAAAATCTCCGGAAATTTTGTGGCGGGGTGGTCCGACCGGAGACGTCGGTCCCCGTTTTCGACAAGTTTCGAAGGACTCTCCCGCGGGAAAGTATTAAAGACGGAAGACGGGGTGAATAACGAAGAACCGCGCGGGCTTAAAGAATTAAAATCTAGGCTAAGAGGCGGAAAACTTTACACCGAGATTTATATCTTGGACGACAACCTTATTCTACGCCAGTTGTATAGGATAAATGTTTATTTAGATATATAAAAAGCAACTTTTTTTCTATCATCGGAAGATGGACCAATGTCCGAGTCATATATCTTGGGAGAAACTTTTTCCGTCCTCTCACTCTACTCGTCCTTTTATTTCCTTCTTCGGTAAAGCAAAAAGTTCTATTTATTCTAGTTTATAAACAACTAAAATGTTTCCGCCATTCTTTCTTTATCGCAACGTCATTATTTTAATAAACGTTGTAAAAGTCCTTAGAATATATTTTATAATTTTTGCACGGTTCTTGGCCAGATATTTAAATGAATCGTGTAAAAAAATTAAAACTTTTGGTTTGACTCTTGGTTTTTCGCGTCAGACTAGTTATAACTAGCCCGTCCCCGTGATAAATAATAAGGAGAAAGCGAAATGCTACCAGTTTAGGTACTACATGGTTACGTTCCTTATCCAGTGTCGACCACAGGTTTAACGGTAACCTATATTTTCCGCCGCGTCCTAAGGGGTACGTATGAAAAGTTTAGTGTAGATCGGTCAAACTAGGACGACGCCTCCCTACGGGACTTTTAATAAAAACTGGCCACTGGTTAGGCGTTATAAACGTAAAGACCACCCGGAAAACCGTAGGCGGCCCACCCGTTATCCGGGCGCCGACCGGCCAACGACTTCCGGCGTCGGGCGGTTTTATCCACTCCGCCACCGGTAGGCCGACGAATAACGAAATAATAAATGTAAATGTATTGTTTCTAGTATAAACAATAAGTTATAAACAATATTATTAACAATAACTAGGTCGAAAGAAATAACTTTACTAAGCCATGGCAGAAATTCGGACCAGCGTCCAACAGAAAATTCCTAAAAGCATCGACCAGACAGAAAATAAAGATGCGGATAGGTCGAGCGAATATCTGCAGCGACGAGTGGAAGACGTGAAAAAGTTGGCCGATTACATTAGCACTCTTAACCGAGTGGGAAAGGGGCTGGGAGAATATATTTTCGACAAGGAAACGCTCGGGGGCAAATAAATTAAATCCAATAAAGCATTATACGGAAATATTTCAAATAAATATAAATTCAAATGTCCACGCTTTCCGATTTTATTTTTATATAATCTATAAAAAAGAGATTATCTGTCGCGTCTTTCAATTTTTCCCACCCTCGGGCCCTAACGATTTTTTCGTACCTTTTATGACTCGAAACGAGCGCCACGTATTGGGGACGGATAGCCCATTCTCGTTCGGAACCGACGAAATCCGGGCAATTTGTTCGATAACTTGGACGTCGACCGAACGTCGATACTAAGAACGTAGGCAAACGCTTAACTCCATCCGACAGATGGTTTATTACCCACGTCGTATACCGGTTGTTCCCAAAGTTACCGCGCGGTCATGCCTTTTCATTTTTTTTTTTTTCAAATATTTTTAAACGAATTTCTTTTCGTACACCTAAGACTGTCTCGGTCCCCGCCCTACGGACGCGTTTCGACCATACGACGAAACCTCTCCGGGCTTTCGTAAGTATTATAGTCGGGGAAGGCCACCCGAATAATACCAGTCGTCTGGGTAGGGGTTAGATTCGCCTCCCGTAGCGCGCTACCAGTTTTTGAGAAATACAAAAAGTAACGAGCCGCGACTTTTAACCATATTTTAAATTTATTTAATTTAAAAATATACGCTGTAAATTTCAGTAGTGTCTCCTTCCCATACGTCGTAATTTTTCCCATAACGCGGCAGTCGTACGGGTTATCCATCTAACTCCGTTCCGGACAAAAGCTTTGAATAGAAATCGAGCGACTTCCGGTTCGGATGGGAAGTTCGTATATAATCGATCGGGGTTTCCTACCCCCAGGTTTCTCGAATTCTATCTTCCCAATCCGTTCTCTCGAAATTAAGGAAGGACGGATGGACGGACTCCGGAGGAATTCGTAGGTCTGCGATTTGAAAATTTCGGCCGAAAATTCCATCGTCGCGTGCCTAGGTGTCGATCGACGGATTCGGGTCTGATATAAATCTCGATAGAGTGTAGATAAACTCTGTCGTGTCTGTCGACGTTCTTTCTTAAATACTGTACTCGGCCCACCAATTTAGGGCCAGACAATATTGTTTTCGTTCAAAACTTTTCCTTACATTAATGACCTGGATACTTCCCCAATACAGTAAAACCCGCGTAAACCGGAATACTTTATCTTATTTGACGGGTTTCCGCTTTGAACAGGTTTTTTTTAACTTAGAAAATCGCTCCATTTCCAAGAATTTTTATTTTATTCGGGTTCTGTTTGGACGTTTTACTAGGGATGGGCAAATTTCGCAGCGGACCGGATAACCGAAAGGGCCATTTTGTTCAATACGGTATACCGAATACACAAAAAATAAAGAAAACTAATATATTTATTTAGCAATAGGCGAAGACGACGCGTGCAGCGAGAGGGTAATGGCTTTCCTTAGAAACTTGGTTGCGGGTACTTACGCAAAAAGCGCTCCGATACCCGAGTTGCAAAAGTGGCCGAATTTTCTTAAAAATTATATTACCGTCAAACGCAAAAATCAGATTTTTACTTACACTTACTTTAATTTTTTCTACGTAGCCAGTTCGTCTACAATCGACGATATTTCCACATAAATAATTATATTTTAGACGCGGTGCGGAGGCGGGCCGGCGGGCCGTAGTTTGGTCACCCCCGGTACGTACCAAAATATAAGATCGTACTCGACACTGGATCGAGACGACGGTGCCCAAAATAGGGTCCCGAGACCTTAAAAAAGTACGCGGACTCGGCCGTGTTGGACTTTGCCAACGCCTAGGTTAAACTTTAGATTACGTAAGGCAATCGGAGCGGACGTTTAATGTATTTTAAAGAATTCTTTTAAAAATTAAACAATTAAATTTATTTTTATTTTAAAATATAATTCTCGCGCTAAAGTGTTAATGGGGTACTANAAGCAATAACGCCCCCTTCTGGCGCGATGAATAGATCTATGATAGAGGCAGGGTATTGAACGGTGACCAAAGGCAAAATTGGGGCTGATAAGAGGAAACATTGCGTTTAATGGTTTCCAGATGATGAGAAAAATGTACAGTAAGGGCACAAAGTGTGAGATTCGTAGAAAAGTTTTCCTAAGAATATTTCCAATCCTTTTCTCCCACAAGAGAAAATGGGTTAGGGGCGTTGGGTATAACTTTATGGAACAAAGGGGGCGGTGGATCGAAAAAGTTTGAGAATCACTGGTTTAGTCCCTTAAGCGCGAGAAAAAACACAAAATTAGGCATAAAATCGTCTCTGGATCTTAGATTTCTAGATACGGAAGTTCGAGTTATCGATAGTTAATTGTATATATATATACAGTATATGTATGTGTGTCTTTATAATTTACTTATTTAAATAATTTATATTATTTACTTACCGCTGCTTGTAACAATTTTCTTAACGAAAGTTGCGCACAGAACGGTCTGACTACTTCCAGTAACCGATTCAAGTGATTCACCAGAACATCGGATGCTTCTAAACACCTCGGATCATCGGGAGGAATTATGGCTTCGGTTTGGCACACGCAGTGATTTTCTGGAATTCCGGCCGTTTCGCAAGTTCTGTTTATAGGAATTTCCATTCTCCACACGCTGTATCCTCTGGTGTTCCAGACGTGAATGGGAGGGCTTTCTTCGTAGGTAGATTTAACAATATCCATTAGCATGGAATGGACATCCAACCACGTGGTCAGACGCTCCGAATTTTTCTTCAGATAGGTTCTCAGATGCGGATGTCGCTCTTCGAGAGCAGACGGAATGCTGACGGAAAACAATGGCATGCGTTCTTCTATGCGACCTATGGACGTGGTTAAAATACTTCCGTACCTGAAATGTCAGAAATTATCGTGGAGAATATATTTCACGTAACATTTAATTAGTCTTTTAGTCTTCCTTAAATTATCTAATAAAAAGTTTAATATAAAATGGTAAGCGTACCTGTTACCGTGGTCTCCCATAACGATAACAACCGCATTCCGAAAATATCCGTTTTCATTTAACTGTCCGAGCAAATGGCGTACGTCTCCGTCTAAATATTGAGCATTGTTGAAGTTGTTATGGGTGACGGCGATGTAAAAGGAGAAGAGAAAATATAATTCTCGGCTATGTTTTATTATAAATTCCTTAATCCATTGGAATAAAATGGTGTACGTGGGAATGTTTCCCAGACAAAATTCGGAACTCATTTTCAAGAGAGGAGATTGGAACGAAGCCAGCCACAAAGGGCGCGGATAGAAGTCGGTGGGTTGACGAAGGCATCCTTTGGCTAAATAGTTTAAAATGGTGAATCCGGGATCGTCCTCGGTCAACGCCGTCACGTACCCTTCTTTTTTGAAGTTCTTCCATATAAATGGCCAATGGTCGTACGGTCCGGCGCTCTCGTTACCGGCCAGTTCTTGCGGTACCATTCGAACTTTCCTTCCAGTTAGCAGAGCGATCATGTTGGGGAAACTGTTATCCGCCACTTTAGTCAGGCCTTTCAATGTCTTAAAAACGTAAAAAATAGCAAATATAAACTTTCGTATTTATAAAAGCAATTTCATTTTAAAAAACAAATAAAAACGAATAATCGTCATTAATTATTTTCCATGGAATTTAGTCTCGAACCGAACTGCACTTTTTGCAGCAAATTCTCCGTGTGTGAATAGATATTTTAGGTATTTAAGGCGAGTTGCGGGAAAGCGTAATCAAAATTACGAAATTGCTTGGGTCAATAACGGATGGCGAATGGATTAAATTGACGGCAATCGGCGATAATCGATGTAATAGTTTTCTTATTAATTTAATGACAATTGTTCGTTTTACTTCGATTTACTCGTAAAATTCGGTAGTTGATGCGCCAATAAAACAAAAACATTATACGAACCATCAATTCATTTTACTTATAAAAGCGCGGAAAAAGTGGTGAAGAAATATTGACAATCCGCTGCTTTTAATAATTTCACGCATCCTAATTCTACGAATTTTTAAAACTACTTTTCGTTCATCTAAAATAATAATAATAATATATAATTTTTCGAAATCGGGGACGGGATGGCGGGGTTACCTCGGCTGCGCGGTATACGAACGATTGTCTCGGGCCACTATAGTGGGTTTCGGGGCCGAGAGAACGGTAGAAACACCCGACCGTCCCATCCATCCTAACCCTTATAAACATAACCAAATGTACAATTTCACTACCATGTGTGTTTACCGTACGTGCGAGTTTACCGTAGTGACGATGGATTTAAGATAACTCCACCATCCTCTACCCCCATTTAGAGAGACGGTTGTTTTCTAATTTTTTAAAATAAATTAAAGTAATTAATATTTAAATTTTATTAAATTATTACAATAATTTAATAACCACCGTCTATTCGATAACGTTTATTACGGCGCCGCGCAACGCCTGGGCCAAGAGAGGCGCTTCCCGGGAGGACTTTCTAAGCGCTAGACGCGTAAAAGAAACAGGAAAACCCACGCGATCGGTCCGTTGGTTTCGGTGGACGAAACCGCCCAACTACCAACGTTTATTCACTATCTTCATTTTATATTACAAGAAATTGGAATGTTAATATACAACTTGTAATTAAAGATAGGCAAATATGGCGTATATTCTTCGCCACTTTTAAGATTAAATATTCTATATATATGTGTAAATAGCTCGTTACTTAGGGTCATACGTAAAAGATAAATCGTACGATCACACACGAATTATTAATGATTATATTTCCATGTTGTGGATTATTTATATTCTTATTAGCTCGAAACCTTATAAAAATGTTTAAAGTTCGTACAATAAAACGCGCGTGTTGGGGAAAAATAAAGTTCTTCGTATATATCGCGTGTTTTCGGTAAACTGCGCCGAAAGTTTCGCGCGGATAATTCTATCGAAGGTGATAAGAAAACAAAAACAAATTTCGGTTCGAGTCGAGCGGATCTAGAAATAAATTTCGAGAGCGAGTGATTTTTAATCCGTCTAATAAAGAATATATACAGGGCCATCTTAACAGCGTTACCAGCTCCGAGAAAAGCGGTGTACCCCGGGGAATAAAGATGTAAATGGTCGATAAAATTAAACATATATTTATTTTATTGGCACTTCCAACAAAATCGAAGTTGAAACGTTAAAAACACTCCGCGCAACAACAACAACTAATCGACTCGATAAACGTTCGAACAAAACACCGGGCTGGAAAAACACACTAATACGGATTAGTACGGAAGCGCTACGCTGGCGGGACCCGCCAGCGATTGCCTTGAGACGTTGACAATTTGTGAAGCGCAAAGTTTTACACAAAATTGCCGGCATCTATTTTAAAACTTGGCGTTTATCTTTGAAATTTACGGATGTAAACTACCTAATTTGATTAAACGTAAGATTTAGAGTGGCGCGAAGGGCGCGGCTGCAGCCCCTCTTAGGGGATTTTCCCGGTAAATCCGGTAGTAAAAATTTTTGTAAGGACTTTTCCTTAAAGTTTCCTTTCTGCCAGCCCCGTCGAAAGATTCCCGGATCCACTATTGTATAGACCGCATTACAAGCACTAAAGAGCCAGAATGATACGAGTTTACGCGTGAAGAAAGACGAGTTTAACTGCGATAAAACAGATTTTAACCCTTTTCATTATAATATAGGATGAAATTTAAAACGTTAGTGATGAATTGGTCCAGCCGAGAAGCGGTATTTCATTGAACAGTAGTTGATTATCAGCAACTTTTTGTAATCCAAAGTTGATTTTATTATAGTCTGTAGACAGTTTATTAGTAGCCTAGTAACTTAGGTTATCCTCTTCTAGCGGATATGTTTATTCAGTCTAAGCTAAACAATAACTGTAAGGCTCCCGTAGCCTTACAATATAGTTGAACGGTATCGGACGAGTAGTGGATGGATAGCGGAGACGATAAGCTTTCTGATATTGGAAGGATTGAGAGATTACGCGGAGATCGAAGATGGGACGGAGCTTATCGAAGGCCTCAAATGATGATAAAAATTACACGATACTCTATGCGTAAAATATTAAAAATAATTAACGAATGCTGGTGGAACGGGATGGCGGGATGGCAAAATAATAAAAAATAAGATTTATTTTTTATTATTTCGATTGTAAAAGTTTAAAAATGTCCAGGAGATTATATCGATGGTTGAATACGCGCGCATCGAAGTTAAGGGGGAATATAAGCTGGAGATATTTCGGAGCGGGGAAAGATACAATACGTTCATTTCCGGATTATAGAGAATAAGATTCGAGAGACGTGTTCTTGTGAGAATCCGAACTTTAGCCAAGATCGGTCGTCGATTTCGTCAATTGTTCTTATCTGCTACCTGCCAACATCGATGACGAAAGCGACGCTTTTCCGTGCGTTACTGATTTTAATATCGTAATTAACGGCCGAAGGAGTCAGTGGCGGCCAGTCCCTCTAGGATTAACGTCATCGAAATTTTCCTGTGTCAGTGCCAACGTACTCTATCGGATTTTCACCTTATCCTCGACGGTGCCTACAAGTTATTCAAAGAACTAAAAACCTTCTTGAGGAATATAGATATGTGATGGCCATTAGTGTTGGCATTGAAAAGGCCTTTGACAGCGCTTGGTGGCCTATGATTTTACTCTGTCTACGAGAAAGAAATTGCCCGTCTAACATATATGGTATAATCAAGGACTATCTAAGTGAAAGAACTGCTAAGATAATTTGTGGAGCACATAAGGTTCACAGGGATGTGGTCCGGGGCTGCCCACAAGGCTCTGTTTGCGGCCCTCTTCTGTGGATTGTCCTTTTTGATGATTTTATGAAACAAAATTTCGGTCAGCACGAAATTATAGCATACGCTGACGATGTGATTGTACTGTTCGGTGGTAGGTCGAGACGGGACTTAGAGCATAATGGGAACAAAATACTCGAAAACATTCTTAAATGGGGCAAAAGGTTTAAGCTAAACTTCAAAGCCAGTAAAACAAAGTGCATAGTATTTAACAAACCGGGTCAACAAAATCTCTATTTAAGAGTCCCAACTATCAAGATGGAAAGGCAAACTGTTCACGTCGATAAATCCATCAAGTACCTTGGTGTGATCCTAGATTACCGACTCCTTTGGAATCCTCATGCTGAATATATTAATGACAGAATTGGTAAGATCTTTAATGCCTTTTCGAGCATCGCTCGTAATCGTTGGGGCCTAGCTGTGGAAGCCCAGGAGGCGATTTATAACCAGATTTTCTTACCAATCTGTACCTATGCATGTGGCAGTTGGGACCATGATATTAATAAGGCTCACATTAAGAGAAAATTTATCGCTGCCCAGAGGAGAGCCCTTATACAGATTACAAAGGCGTATCGCACAATCCCGAATACCGCTAACCAGGTTTTGGCAAAAAAAACCACCAATTGACAAAGTAATCACTCTTATCACTAGGATGTGGCAAATTATATGGGGCAAAGACGTCCTTATAGGTGACATTTGCATCAGTTATGACGACATTGAACATAAAGTTAAGTTTGCAAATACTAGACACCCGGCAACTGAAAATAAAATCTACTTCGACAACCCTGTCCAGACCAAAATCCAAATCTACACGGATGGATGAAAGGCAGATGGAAATGTGGGGTGCAGCTTTGTTGCTTATGGTGACGAACAAGAAATTGACATAGGCCAATTCCGACTTGGCAGCAACTGTACAGTTTTTCAGGCAGAGCTCTTTGCCATAAGTAAAGCAGTTGACTGGGTTAATTGTCATTACAATAATGAAAGCATAAATATCATCTCTGACAGTGCTTCTACACTGGCCCTTCTAAAGACCAAAACCTATAACCCCATTGCAGTTGCTATTCAGGATGCAATCAACACTTCAAATTGTGAATTTTATTTAAACTGGACAAGGGCACACATGGGCACACTTGGCAACGAGAGGGCAGATTCTCTTGCCAAGGAGGCCTCTACCAATCGAGACCTTCCTTATTCATATAATAAACTGAATAATAAAACAGTCAAAAGTCTGCTCTGGCAGAATCTTTTAATGGAATGGCAGATGGATTGGAATAGTTACACAACCATAACTTCAAAACTTATTAATAATATTAAGGAATTTTTAAAAAATAAATGGTATTCACCCAGCCATAAACTTACTCAGATGCTATCCAACCATGGTGCTTTTCACTCTTACTTGAGTAGATTCAAATACCCTCACGACCCTAATTGTACTGTCTGTGGTACACCGGATGGAAATTTGCACTACATAATAGACTGTCCAATGATGGAATTGGAAAGATTTTCTCTCAAGATTATCCTGGAGGCACACGATGTGAACTGGCCTCCTCAAAATCTGGACTGCATTTTTGAGCATAAGGACTCATACGATGCCTTCATTCACCTAACTGACATGTACTTCAGAAGAACCACAGTCCCTTTCTACTGATGGACGTCTCTTCTTTATTTTGTAATCCAATCCTAAATTTGTACATACGCGTTTTCTTGTTCAGGTGCAGGTAGCACCTTTGCATGCCTCGAACTGTGATATGCCTCTTGTATATTCCAATTGTTTATTTTATTGTATTCCTCATTACATTGTATTTTCAACCTTATTTCTGATCCCACCCGGTTATGTTTCACGGCACCGGGATGTACTATGTATATTTTTATTTTAATAAATAACTGAACTGAATAACTGAAACTGATGCCTAGAAGAACTTCCCCCATCCAGACGTCCCGAACGATCCAAATCCGGACAATTTCGAGACCCTAGACACGAGAGTCCTAATCGAGAAACGTCACCGTCAACGCAGGTATTTCCCGACTCGAGAACAATTGTAAACCCTCTCTGTCGCCACCGCTAGATAGATAGGCTAAGTCGACATACCGCGATATATAGATTGTATATTGTATTAAGTACTCCTTTTCGTTGAAATTAAACGGTTGTTGACTTTAGTGTCCGAATATTTTACTTCCGGCGGGCCGTCTCTCGATCGCTTAGGCCTACTCACGCAGCCGCTGGCGTGATCTATTCTAAATCCAACTAAACCCGACAAGGCATCGAAGAGGTGCCGACCCTCTGGGATATTAAGGTTCCCTATTGATAATAGTTAAATAACGTCGATATGGCTTCTTCTACGGGATGCGACATCCTTAGACAGCGTTATCCGAAGGTTAACTATGACGAAGATTTAGTTAGAGAGTGTTTTGTATATAATGCTCTATAACATTAACGTGTTCCGCTGGCATCCTTTCGTAAAGAGGTCAGTCTGAATTTTTCTCGTCTCGATTCCAATAAATTAGAATCGAGATTAGAAAAGCCAGTTATTTCTTTTTATATGTATCTGGATTCTGTCAATTTTGATACGAGGATAATTAAAAAAATATTATTACCAAGATTATTCGATTGAAAATTTTAATTTGTCTCTTAACATTTGTTATTAATAAAGTAGATATCGAATAAAATTTATAGCCTATTTATAAAAGTCACAGTATGTATCAATGCGGTAGGGTTCTATACCGTTCAACGTATATTCGCACGAAATTTGGCACGTAGGCCTATATTCCTTCTCCTAGAAAAAGTATTGCGGACTTCCCTTCCCGTTTCCTAATCTTCCCTAAAGCCCACCCCTTCTTAATTTAAGCCCGAGAAAATTTTTGTTGTCTGCAGTTTAATTATTATAAATACTCGGGTCGATAATTGTACGTTTCAGTTACTAAAACCGTTGTTTTTATCACCCTGCGAAAAGCCCGAGCAACACGCTGTTAACAAATTATAATAATAAATAAATGAACAAAATTGTTAGAATGCATCAATGAAATTAAATTCTTGTGTTTATATAAACGGAATCAACTATCAAAAAATTCTTTTTTGAGTGAAATTATTATTATTTCTCTCTTCGGATATCGAGCTATTGTCTAACTTTAATTGGGTAAATTGTTTAAGCGCTTGATTCCTATAAGAGAATTTAGTAGCATTAACTCGTATATATAATTGTTTGTTTGTATACGGCGTGGGCCAGGGAAACTTTCTATGGAAAACTGGCCCCTATTTATGTGAGGTGTGAAAAACCCAAAACTCCGAGTGACCGGCTGGAGTTGGCGAAGTGTTCGATGGTGTTAGTCACTCGACCGCTGGTATAAATAATATTTTTGCTATTTCGTTCGTTCCAACGCCAATAATCTAAATATATAAAATTGCTTGTCCTGACTGACTGATTCATCATCGCCCAGAGCAAACCGCTGGACCTAAAGAGGTGAAATTTGGTAGACAGTTAGGGTACGTCGTGGAAACGCGCACTAAGAAGGAACTTTTCGAAATTCCCCCGCGGGGGAACAGGGAGAGCATTAAGGCTTAACCGGAAGAACGGCTTCTACTGCACTATTTTAGATGCGAATTTTTGTTTTTATCTGCGTTTTAGTAGGATATGCCATGGGAATGCACGCTAAGAAGGGATTTTTCGAAATTCCCCCGCGTGGGAGAGGGAGAGGATTTAGTCTTCATCGAGTACTTAGGTGTATTAAATTAATAACATTTCAGACATTGTTATAAATATTTTTATCCATTTCGATTTTTAAAATGTTCGAACCGTTTTAAATTCGAATTTGTTCGATTATAGAACGATCGTAAACGTTGCAGAAAATTGATCAAATTGAAAACAGTTGGTTTGATTCTCGCCAATTCTCGTCATTCTCGGCGGTAGGTGTTATACTGTATAACAATTACTATGGTTGTTGAAATACTGAATATAAATGGGGTTTGCTTGCAAAATCCTCGCTGGCAAAGCCGCGGGTAACAGCTAGTTTACTTATAAAACTATATGACTCGATACATCGGTATATTTTTAATATATGTAATTACGTGAGTAAATATTACAATCGATTGTTGTGGAAAAATAATTTTAAAAACTTACTTCGGCTTTCATAACATCGTTGAGGTAGGAATAAGTCTTTGGCATATGACGAATCATATTAAGTCTGGACATGGATTCGATTACCAATACAAACACCTGAGGTTTAAAAATACCCTTCTGGTCAGTCAATCGAATTCCTGATTTTCTGGGAATGTACGCGTGATAATTCCTGTATACGACTTTGTCTCTGTAGCTACAGGTCACGGCCACAAACTCTCTTCCGTTTATGATTTTCTCGGAGGCATTCAGGACTTTTCTCGGATCGTAAATGACGTGATCGTCGTCGTTGGGCTTCCTCCTGAAAGTGGAATATCGGCAATCCAGCAGATTCTCGTCTATGCGATGAGCGGCCATGGCGGATCGATTCAGACGAAGAACCCCTTCGTAGTCTACGTAGGTCAATTCCGGTTGGACGAATTTACATTTCAGGGGATCTTTTTTGACGACGTATCGCATCACCGAATCGTCGAATGCATTTGGCGTGGGAATCTGGCACGAAGCGGAGGAGGCCATACTTTGAAGAGTGACGTAGTGAGTGTGAAAAAATTGCCATTCCACTATATGTATGTAGGCGGGCCACAGTAGTACAGTGAATACCACAAATATGGTCAACATCAGGATGAATCGTAAAGGAGATTGCCTGATGGTCTTCTGAAATGATTTCCAAGCCAGCATTTTTGTTCGTAACACTTGGAAAATAGCTTCTGTGTTATCTAGTAAAATAGCCTTATGTTAGAAAATACTTCATTCGTTCTAATTTGAGTCCATCTTCTCTGGCAAATCTACCGTTTTCTTTAATGTTAAGTCACGATTATCAAAATTATTTTATAAATAAATATATTGTATTATTTTTAGAATTTTCATCTTCCAATTGTAAAGTTTTTGAATTTTCTATTCCAAAATTCTTCTAACTCCTCGTCCATGTTATACGGAGTGTTCCTTTCAATTTTATAAGCTAAAATTTAAAAAAGTACAATAAAAATTATTTTTTTACATTATTCCACTTTATTAATTTATTGCTTTTATTTTTATTATTTATACGGTAAAACCTGTCTAAAACGGAAAAATTCTTAGAAACACGGCGACTTTCCGTCTTTAAAAAACCTGTTCAAAACGGTGCCGTTGGATTCCGGTTTACGCAGGTTTTACTGTAATTAGAAATGATCAGAACTTTAAATTAGTCTTTAAAATTAATTAGAATAATAATGTAATAATGATTATTTTTAATTACATACGAGCAAAATGAATACATTGAACAATAGCCATGCTAATAGAGAGCGAAAAGATTTGCGCTCCGTTACAAGAATAAACGTAATAACCGATTAATTATAAATTAAATTCGTTTGAAAATGGGCTTTTAAGGTAACGCCTAACGCAAATACGGCAGAGACTGGCTCTAGTTATTGCGTGTTAACGTTATATAATCTTAATTGAATTATATTTTTATATATTGTCATAATTCGATGTAGCGAATCTAAATATTGGCGTATCCGGTGATGGTTATTAATTTACCCCTATTTAACGCCGATAATATAGAGATATAACCGTGGAAAGAAAATTAAAACACGTTTTGGACACGTGCGATTTTCGGTTGTGGGGTTTATAGGGAACGTGTCGCAAATTTGGCAGCCTGGAAACACGGTGTTATACTGCAGGTGAGAAGCGAGGCGGCCGATGGGGTAAAAGTACGGTCGAACACGCTGTTTGCGGCCTTCGGGTTTTACAATGGACCGCACCGAGCAGTTCTTCCGTATCGGCACCGTCTCTAAATGACTCGAATGTCTCGAATAAATAAAATTTGTTGGCGACAAAACTGGCCCGGTGCCGATTTTTCTTATCGGTCTTCCTCGTGTCCCGAACTGTCGCCTTACCAAATTTGGTTTTACTCGGGATTCTAAACGTGTCTCTAGACCGCGTCGAATAGGTATACTTCAAGATGACCGGTGTATTCGGCTTTCCACTGCAGCCGAAGTTAACGGCAACGTGTCTGCGACTGTTGCCATCGGAAAACGAGCGACCGGTACTGTACTGTACCAGCAGCGGCGTGGCTAGAAACGAATAGTTTAGTTTTATTTTTAATCGTTCTTAGAAAAAAATAAGGTTTTATTTCAGACTTTTTCTCAAATTTTCTCTTCGGATAGCTGTAAATCGAAATGTTTGAGTCTTAAATATCAAATAAAGTGGGTTATCTTCGCATTGTTCTCATCGACTGGTCTAATTCCTAATATCGAGCCAACAATTTGACAATAGGCAAGTTTCTATTGGCTAATTGTCGACCTCAAAAGATCAAAAGTTGGACAATTATATCACTCGGCTTATATTCTTCCGGCTTACAAAATAGCTGAATTTTAAAATAAGCAACGAAATAATATCATTATAATCGATAAAAAATTTAAATTGGATAATTAAAACCGTTATCATCGTAACACAATCGATAATAGTAGAAAGGATTAATTATTATTAATAGAAAATATGGAAATTTTTATAATATAAACGAATATAAATTATATCTTAGATGCAGATTATCGGACACGGAAATGAATCGTCATCCGCAATCGATCCGTACCCGCTACTAACGGCTATTTTCTGTCTGTGGCCGCATTTGTAACAAAGATGCTTCCTACCTGTCCTCGACGAGCGTCCATCGATTATAACATGGCCGACCGACATCCAACCTCTCACTATCCCTAGTGATGCGGGCAACATCCCCGACGGAGCATGCGCCGAATCGCTGCAGTCTGTCGCCACCTCGGCGTTTTATTCTAAATATAAACAGCTGAAAAAATCCTATTTTCCATCTAATTTCGTATTTTTAAGCGCGCCGAGAGTTCAATTTTTTATTTCCTTATTGAATTTTCCTATCGATTTGAAACGGCGAGTGATCGATAACTATGTCTACGCGCTGTCTACGTCTAATCGCTATTTGCATTTTTATCCCTTCCATTTATTAAAAAATCTGCTTCTAAACCAAAATTTCTTCGATATTTACCTATAAAATTATAAATATTTTAAGTATCGATGCCCGTGTCTGCAAAATATGACTTTTATTTTAAAATATTTTGTTAAATTAAATCATTTTAGGAGAAAAGGATAAATTCCGACTGTGCTCTCTGTACCAAACAACGGTAAAACCTGTCTAAAACGGAAACCCGCCAAAGCGATTCCAGTTTATACGGGTTTTACTTATTTGCAGAAATTATTTTATATATTTGGGGCCCGATTTGCGCTAACCAAGCTACAGTTTAGGGCCTCGAACTACGAGAAATCTATTATTTTGAGTAGGAGAAAGGAACTTTCGTATATTTTATCATTTACTACTCCGTTATATATTCTAGGATTAATACGGGATATAAAGATGTTTGGATTTTTAATAATAAAAATGATATATTTAATTTCGTAATATCCGTATAATGCATTTAAGAATAAATTACGTGTAAACACATTGGGGGGCAGTCGAGAGTAAGGGGATGCGGGACAAAATACATAACGGAGGCTTTTAAATTATTATATTAAAGGGAGTAAGCGAAAAAATATCGTAAGGGCCCGGGGCAATTTTTTCCCGATGGCGCGTAAAAAGTACGAGTAAATATAAATGATTTTATTTCGAATCAATTAAATTCAGTGTTTAGATTATACGTTTACACGAATGTCTGGTTTGATCATTTCGCTGGGTTCGATGACTCACAACTCGACTGACGGGATAATTATCACCGGGTTGAAAAAATAATATAAATTTCGTTATAGCAGTTTCATTATAGCAGTTCCTAAATAATATATATTTTCGTTTCCTTTCTGGTCTTTCCAGTCTCGTACTTGGTTTATTAGGCCTAATGCGGTCTTTTTAATGTCTCTATCAGCTTACAACGATCATTACCTATTTAATATTTATAAAATCGAAATTAAACGCGTTATCTCATAGACGAAACGAATTTCGTTCTACTCTTTATCGTTTGAAGATTTCGGACTTCATTTATACCTGTACAATGGCCTATCCAGTCATTTTTGTCGTTATAATTTTTATACGTTTATCATCTCGTCCTTTCATTTCCTTTTGTGTTTTTCAAAGCTATTTGTTTGGTTAATTCCTCTTATTCGAGTATACGTTTGCCTTCTTATCTTCCGCCACCCTTCCGAAAACGTACAGTACGTCGATGGGTCTACTTATTCGGCCCGTAAATTAACAATTACGGTAAATAATTGCTGGTTTTGTATCGAATTGGTCCCGACGTCCACCCGTCCGACATTTCGTTTGTAGGAAAATAAGATTGAATTATTTTTATTATTTTAAGCAAACTATTACAAAGTAATTGCTGGTCGAACCGTCTGTGTTTTTACATAGCCTAAACGTTGGTAAAATATTATTAACTCGTTTCGTATTATTTCCGACTTGTTGTTTTTCGGATCAAATGCGCGTATTTGATCTCCGTAAAGCATTTTAGTGTTTATAATTATCATTAAACTGTATTTAACGTGGAAAGAATAGTCGCGTTATACAAGAAATAATGTTCCTAAAAATTTGTATATTTAAGCTTAAGAATTAAGCAAAATTTCGTGCGTACTTTTAAAGTTTATTATTAAAGTTTTTCCAAGATAATCGCCAGATAGTTTTGCCACGTGGTCTACAACAGCGGTCCCCAACCTTTTTATCGCCGCGGACCGGTCAACGTTTGATATTTTACCGCGGCCCACTGAGGGGGGACGTNTTAAAAGAGATTTTGATTTAATTTAAGAAGAAAATTTCAGAACCAATCTAGAAAAAATTCATTATGTAAGATGTATAATATTCATAATTTTTTTGTTTCAATTTAATGAATCTGAAATATGATATGTACATTGAATGATTAATATGTTATGTTTAGTAAATTTTATGTAACAAGATATTTAAAAAAATGTTCCAATAAGTAATAATTGTATTTTTGTAATTCTTTAAAGCTAACCCCCTGTAACAAGATTTTTCTTATTACAATAAAGTATTTGTAATAATTTCGTAAAATAATTATAATTTTCTCCAGAAAATGTATTACCCTTTCACTATTGTCGGGATTATCTATAAGTAGCTTCTACGATTAGCCATAAAAATACAACTAAACTAAATTAAATGAATAAAATGTATTTATTTCATTTTTCCATCCCGATTTTATTTCAATGCCGAGTTAGGAAACGAGGAAAATTTTCGTAAGCACGCCGGAGTAATGGCAAATTACGTAATCTACGGCATTCCGGTAGGCGGATTATATCAATACATTACCACGCAATTTAAATGAAATAAACTTGTAAAGCTGTTTTTGCTGTTCCGTAACGGCGACTGAAAATATTAAATCAAATGACCGAAGCTAATGCAATTTTCACAAGTTTTTAAAGATCCGGCTGTCCTTTTGCCCTTTACGTAATCCACTAAAAATATAAAAGCTCTGAAAACGTAAGGCCTGACCTCTTTTCTCACCGACGGAACTCGATTTGCATAACCTACGACTACTCGAAAGTAGAAAAATACCCCAATGATATATTTCGCGGATAAACCCAGTGTGCCGAGCGTACGCAACGAAAACTAATCGAAAATTAAGCAAACTTCGGAGAACGAATTACTTTCCGTAAAAAATAGTTGCCATCTTTTCCTCGTTAATCCATCCGATTAGGAAAAATCCAGAGCCATTCGATTCTTTTCGCCACCGATATAGACAGTCGGCATTAGTTCGCTCGGTCCGTATTGCCGAATGGATGGTAATGATGGACGGAGGCAAATAAGAATAAAAACAACGAATCAACAATTATAAAGGAATTTTATATATTTTGCGTTAATATTTTATATTCGTACTTCGCTTTGACACTCGTTCCTTCCAATGAAACGTAGACTGACGATATCGAGTGAGCGTAGGACGTCGCTATACGGGTGGAGGGAACCTCTGAACCGGCCATCGAGTTATTCGCTGTCGAATAACTCGATGGCGTACGGTACGACGTTAGTTTAAACGTAGATGAGCTATCGGCCCGTGCCGACTTTATCCGCCTTAGAAAGTGAGGAGAAGAAAAGTAGTCTAGAGGAGAATGGTTTGGGAAGTAGGGGGGATAGGAAAGATAAAGAGTAGTGAGGATCTCGGGGCGCCTTATCGGCACTATTACAACCAATCTATTACGATACAATTACGTAATAC